TCTTCAACCGAAACACCATAAAAATAAGTTACAGCTGCATGAATAACGCCAAACAAATAATTGACAACCACAATAAGCAGATTCTAAAGTCACACACGCAAGCCAACGACACCGCCACAGCTAACCCTAATACCGCTGAAGACAAAACGACATGCAACTGCCGACAAAAGAACACATGCCCAGTCGAAGGAAACTGCCTACAATCACCAGTCATCTACCAAGCTACAGTCACACGCAACGACAACAACACAACAGAAAGATACATCGGACTCACGGAAAACGACTTCAAAACAAGATATCGAAACCATACCGCATCGTTCCGCCACTCTAAACACCGAAACTCATCTAAACTAAGCAAGTACATCTGGACTCTCAAAGACAACAACATCGAACACTATATTTCATGGCGCATTCTGTCTTCACATTCACCGTACAACAGCTCAAGCAAAAGATGCAACCTCTGCCTAAAGGAAAAATTTCTAATCATTTACCGACCGAAACTTTCTACACTCAACAAACGCAATGAACTCTTGTCTTGTTGCCGCCATAGAAATAAAGCTCTCCTACCCAACTGCTGAACTGTTAAACTTCGCGCCGCATAGATTAGATATATGTTAATTATTGTTATTATGTAAATTATTTTGTAAATAAGAAGCGATGGTAAAGAATATTCTTATTAAATCCCCTGATGAGTGGGCAACCACGAAACAGGCTTGTCGGGATGAAAGTGTAGTTTATTTGTTTCTTTCCTCCACAAACATATACTTCGCTCTACACTTATGTATTGAGCACTGTTCTACGAATATTTACGTTCTCCACTTTATATACATTTAAGATACATAAATTTGCAAGACAATCAGTATGAGGTTTATGGATATTTTAGAAAAGTAAACAAAGTTGTAATCTCTCTTTATTTCTCTAAAATGCTTGCAATAATAGCGAGGAAATCGATAACATAAGGCGATATACTTGGTACCTATTTACAGCGTTAACATTCTGTTGTAGATGTTGTTGTAATTGTTGTTGTTGTTGTTGTTGGTTTACTCGCGTAGCTACTAACATTCCTAATCAACACTTACCCACGTTTTTGTTTCGTTTTAACTCTTATTACTATAAACTAATTGAAAAGGTTAGGCACTTCAGAGATACATAATATCTATTTACAATATCAAAGAGGATTTTCCAGATGAGGCATATTTTTCTTAAGTACGAAGAGGAGAAGAGAATCGTATGTTAAAATCAATAAATTAGATAAATAATGCAGTCAACTAATCTATTGATATAGACGCAGTATCAAATATGCTTATGCATCTGCAGTAATCAGGATTAATGACATGGAGGCAAAACAATAAACAACAAAAAATAACAAAAGTTACATTGCTCACAAATGACAC